CTCCTGCCTCAGCCTCCCGAGTAGCTTGGATTACAGGTGCACGCCACCACGTCTGGCTAATTTTTGTATTTTTAGTAGAGATGGGGTTTCACCATCTTGACCAGGCTGGTTTTGAACTCCTGACCTCAACTGATCCGCCCGCCTTAGCCTCCCAAAGTGCTGGGATTACAGGCGTGAGCCCTACCACACCCGGCCTTTTGCTGTTTTTTTTAAGACAGGGTCTCGCTCTGTCACCCAGACTGGAGTGTAGTGGCATAATCTCAGTTCACTGCAGCCATTGGCTTCTGGGTTCAAGCGATTCTCCTGCCTCAGCCTCTTGAGTAGCTGGAATTACAGATGTGCACCACGACACCTGGCTAATTTGTGTATTTTTAGTAGAGACAGGGTTTCACCGTGTTGGCCAGGCTGGTCTCCAACTCCTGACCTCCAGTGATCTGCCCGCCTTGGCCTCCCAAAGTGTTGGGATTACAGGTGTGAGCCTCCACACCTGGCCCCATTGTTGGTGAATTCTTAGTACATTTGTTTTCTTAAAGCTCATCGTAATAAAACCAAATGAGAGTCCTAAAATCCATGTATTTTTGAATTTTTGTTAAAATATATTTCCCTATATTTGAGACTGGAGTTTTAAAATTTTACTTTATTTAAAGCAATGAAGTTGTCTAAGTATGCTTCTTTCTTTCAGTGGCTGCTGAGAATATATTTTGTAACAGCTTTTTTTTTTAGTTGCTTATGTAAAATTAAAATCTGGAGCTAGGTTATGTAGTCAAACATCCTCTTTTTCTATGGAAACCTGAGAAGTGCTTGTGTAAGGATACAATTAGTGGGAAAGCTTAGACTAGCATCCAAGTCTTCTGAGTTGTCAGCTAGTATGTACTATACTATATTCCTCTTTTTAGCAATCTTAATGCTTCTTAATATTTTTCATCCAAGTCACTTAAGATTGGGCATGTTGTATGACATCCTTAAGTCTCAGTTTCCTTATCTGTACAATCAGAATAATGCTTCACTGTGCTGGGATTAAACGTAAGGATATATAGAGTCGCACAGTGTGTGGAATGTAGTAGTAATAATTGCTTAGTATGTGTGTTTTGGCTTTTCCTATTGTCTTACTTGTTTCACAGTTGTACCTTTTTGTGATGGATGGTGTTAGTTTTTAAAATGGCACTGTCTTTTGCGATTATTTTAAACTACTTAACTGCACTTAACAGAAATTTTAGTTGTACCCTAGGTAACTTTCTGATTAAATTATGTTATTGACTGTAAGGTTTAGCAGGTATCTAGTCAGGATTTTAAAAGCCTGAGCAATGGAAAGTTACAATGTTACGGTCTGGTCCTGTTTTTAAAAAACTGCCTGTAGTTAATGTTGGAAAATTTGTCTGTCATTAATTGCAGCTCTCCTTTATGAATTGCTGTATGAGAAGGTGTTTAAAACTGATGTTAGTAAAATTGTGATGGGACTAGACACGTTGGAAGTAGCTGATGAAGACAACAGTGAAATATCAGATTCAGAGGATGACAGTTGCAAGTAAGAATGAAATCCTAAAATATTTTTCTAGTGCCATACAAGGAAACATTTAAGTAAATGTCTTTACATTTCAGTAAATGTCTTTGCATAAGATATATTGAGGTGTTAATGGTATTCATAAAGTATAGCAGTCTGCTGAAGTTTCTTTATCCCTGCCACTATTTTTACCTAATTTCTATTATGGGACTGTTTGGATGTTTATATTAGGATCTTATATTAGGATGTTTACTCTTTTATAAGAACCAACCCTATTATATTCTTATTGAAACTAAAAGTATATATTGTTGTATGACAGTATGAAAGGATTGTACTTGGTATGTTACACTCTGTGACACTAGAGATATAAATGGAACTTAAGCCTTAGGCTGTCTAATTCTTTATTATAAAAATAACTTAAAATATATGTATATCTCTTGATTTGTAATTCCAAGTATTTATTGAATTAAAATTTTCTGATCCTGATTGAAAATTTGGCCACCATTTCTTTCTAACTTGAATCAGTGTCTGCCATTGTAAATTTAATTCTAGAATGGACTGACTTTACATAGATAGAAATTTTGCTCTATGGTTCTCTCTGGGCACCATGTCATTGACCATGGGGGACATTGGAAGAGAGAATGACTAGCTTGTTACAACTTGTTACCTGTGATTGGAGTTGGGGGACTTCTAGCACATCCAACACGTGCCCTTTGATTGCTGCTGGTGGTAATGGTATTAGAAACAACTGAGTCTTGCATGGCAGTTGACAGGTGAAGTATAGCGTAGGGGCTAGTAAGCTGGAGAAGTTTACCAGACATGGTAGAGTAGGTGTATAAGATGTGTTCACTATTGTGTTTAGTTTTTCTTTTTATACCGCACTCTTGTCCTTGGAATGTGGATTACCTTTACATTGCATTATTAAAAATTTTTTTTTTTTTTTTTTTTTTTTTTTTTTTTTTTTTTGAGATGCAGTTTTGCTCTGGTTGCCCAGGCTGGAGTGCAATAGTGTGATCTCGGCTGACTGCAACCTCCACCTCCTGGGTTCAAGCGATTCTCCTGCCTCAGCCTCTTGAGTAGCTGGGATTACAGGCATGCGCCACCAACCCGGCTAATTTTGTATTTTTAGTAGAAATGGGGTTTCCTCTGTGTTGGTCAGGCTGGTCTCGAACTCCCAAACTCAGGTGATCTGACCGCCACGGCCTCCGAAAGTGCTGGGATTACAGGCCTGAGGCACTGTGGCCTCTTTTTTATAAAACCATCAGATCTTGTGAGAACTCACGATCATGAGAGCAGCGTAGGGGAAACCACCCACATGATTCAGTTATCTCCACCTGGTCTTGCCCTTGATACGTGGGGAGTATTACAATTCAGGATGAGATTTTGGGTGGGGGCACAAAGCTAAACTGTATCAGCCTACATCTCAACACTCATTTTTGCCTACTTATTTTTTTTTTCCTTATAGCAGTTATCAGCATGTAACATACTCATTACTTACTGGTTTTTATCTGTTGTCACCAGATTGTACATTTCATGTAGGCAGAGTTTTTATTCTCTTAAATGCTAGACCCCAGCACCTAATAATACAGTCATCCCTTGGTGTATACCAGGGGATTCGGGATTCTTGAGTATACCACAGTCTGCACATATTCAAGTCCTGCTACGGGCCCTGTGAATCTGTTTATATGAAAAGCTGGCCCTCTGTGTACTTGGGTGTCACATCCCAAGAATACTGTATTTTCGATCTGCTTTTGGTTGGAAAACTGTGTGTAAGTGGACCTGCACAGTTCAAACCTGTGTTGTTCAAGGGCCAGCAGTGTACAGTGCATGGCACATAGTAGACACTCAAGTTAGTTATTGAGTATATGAATGTGTAGGTATGTATGCGACAGTGAATTTAAAGGGCTGATGATGGTGCTTTCATTGTGCTGAACATTATTTGATGTAGAGTTTTTTTTTTTT